ATATATATTATAAATATATTATATATATTATAAATATATTATAAATATATATATATATATTATACATATATATATATAAAAACAAAAAAAATAAGGTAGAAACTAACACAAAACAAAAAGGGAACAACAATAACAAACAACAAACAAGACAAAAACACAAGACAGACAATAAAACACACAACAGGTAAGGCGCCAAAGACAAATTTAACTGACAGAAAACCAGGCTCAGACCAGAGGACTGAGTAAAAACCAGACTTGGAGCAGAGGGCTGAGTAAAAACCTGACTCAGAGCAGAGGACCGAGGAAAAAACCAGGCCAGAGGATTAAGGAACGTCTGGCTAGCCCTGGACTCAGAAAATAATGCCGCATCCAACTTTCCCCAGCCTCTCCAGGTGCAGATCCACACAGATCAGACTTACCTTCCCAGGGAAACACAGACAACTCTTGGTAGTTTTAGATGGTGGGGGGTCAGAAGTGAGGAACATCTTCTCAAAGGCCTTCCCCTAGGTGATCTCTCTGCCAAGGCCCTCCCTTGGTGGTCCTGAGCGATCTGCAGAAAGCAAGAAAAGTAGGTCCTTGTGGGACCTCCAGATGTTGTGGGGCAGGTCACTCAGAAAACACACCAAGTCCCAGTTTTGTCTAAATTGAAGAGTCTTTATTTAGCCAGCTGGCAACTGCTCCCCACAGGACCCATAACTATCTCTGCAAGGAACAGCCCCAAGCCTGAGCATTTTAGAATATTTAAAGACAAAAACTGCAAAACCCAGATTGGGGTTGATATAGCTGCAAGCAAGCAGGTACAGAAGCTGAACTGGGCAGTCAGAGCGACAATGCAATGGGTACATTGGTATTTCCCATGGGACTTTCCAGGTTGGCATAAGGAGCAAGCAAGCAGAAGGGAAGTGGGTCAAAATGATCCTAGTTGAGTACAAGTTAGAGAGTGGTTACTAACATCTAGACAGTCTCTTACAGGGTACGTGCCCAAGAAAAATGAAACCAAAGAGAACAATTTTACATTGTATAAGAATTGCTATTTTGTCTTGCCAAGTATGTCATGCTAGGTAACTATTAATGGGTACAGAGGCTGGGCTTTCCCATGGGAGAAGCATTTCTTACATGACATGAAGTCTAAGAGTAAAATGGAGTCTGTTTGTTCACTGCCCATATAGCCTGGCCCATAACACTAGGAGCCTCTTGAAGCTAATTATTTTTGCAAGTATTAAAACTAAAAATTAAAAGAAAAATGGCTTTTTGTACAGAGTTTCAAATACAATTCTTTGTCCCAAGACAAGGGAACATAGTCAAAACAATAAGGCACATTGTGTACTAAAGGAGAAGACTGCAAGTCACCAGAGGTCCTATCATCAGTAGACACTGAGTCATGTGACCTTGGGACACCTGAAATATGTAAAGTGCAAGTTGGTATGAGTTATAAAATCCACACAAGGGTCTGCAAAATTAGAATGAAAACAAGATATAAAAGCACAATAATAATATCAGATATGTAGAAATGATAAACGTCAAATTCAGTACATCTATATTTACACTAATATTACTTTATGTAAAAAAGTTGTAACAACAGTACAATATAAATCAATTCATTGTTCATGCTGTATTAATTATAGCATTTCCTATAAAACACATGTAATAATTATTATACTTATGCTTAGAAATTGACATACCTAATTAATTTTGCTAATAAATATATTACTAAAAATCTAATTACATATGTAGATTATAGTATACATCTATAGGTCAGCACTGTTCTAGAGTTTCTGTCTGCATGGAGAGAAGCCATACAGAAGAGCAGAGATGACCATGCTCACTTCTTTCTGGAGGAGAGCATCCCCCACACTCTTCCCATGGCCCCCAGCACCTCCTTGTTCCTCAGGCTGTAGATGATGGGATTGAGCATGGGGGTGAGGATGGTGTAGAAGACAGCCAGGCTTTTATCCTCTGCTGGGGTGCGGAGACTCCTGGGCCGGAGATAAGTGTAGACAAAAGGAGCATAGTAAAAGGTCACGACGGTTAAATGTGTGGAGCACGTGGTGAAGGCCTTTTTCCTCCCCTCTTTTGAGCGCATGTGGAAGACAGCAAAAAGGACCCGTCCATAGGAGGCCATGATGCCAAGGAAAGGAAGGAGGAGAAATATGACTGTGCTCCCAAAAATTGTGTACTCATAGACCCAGGTGTCCATACAGACCAGAGGCAACATGGTGGGGACCTCACAGAAAAAGTGATTGATGACCCTAGACCTGCAGTAAGGAAGATGAAGGGCATAGATGGTGTGTACCAGAGAGTGAATGGAACCCAATATCCAGGTTCCTATGATCATCTTCAAACACATGATTTTACTCATGCGGACAGGGTAGTGGAGGGGGTGGCAGATGGCCACAAAGCGGTCATAGGCCATGGAAGCCAGAAGTAAGCCTTCAGAACATGCGATGGTGACAAAGAAGAACATTTGCACACCACAGCCCAGGAAGGAGATGCTCTTCTGGCCGGAGAGGAAGTTGATGGCCATCTTGGGGACAGTGGTGGAGATGTACATCAGGTCCATGAGGGAGAGCTGGCTGAGGAGAAAGTACATGGGGGTGTGGAGCCGGGGGTCCAAGAAGATGAGGGCAGTCATCCCTGAGTTCCCCAAACAGGCGAGAACAAACACAGAGATGATCAGGAGCAAGAGAAGGAGGCCAGTTTGGTTTTGGGGTAACAGGCCCATTAAAATAAAGTCATTTAAAGTTTGGTTCCATTTCTCCATGAAAATGCACTGCTTTAATTTCTTTGAAATATAAGCAAAATTAAAACTAAGACCTAAACCTGAAAAGACACAGCAAAGAAAAATAAAAATGAATTGACTTCATTTGTGTTTTTTAGAATGAATTATTTTTCCTTCAACACCATTTCCTTGTTCAACTGTATTTAAGACCTGAATAGAATGTTCCTGCCCCAGTTCTCTCTGTAACCATCTCAGCACATCCTGGACACATACATTGTCTTGGAATACAAAGTCTATACAAAGCACAGGAAACCCAGTGAGGTAGCTGGAGCCTTCCTGCATGCTGACTCCAGACAGGAGCTTTCCTAGGACTATGCACCAGGCTCAGCCCCGGAGGAAGCCAGGATCCTGCTTTCCCAGCTCCCCAACTCAGCACTCAGGTTCACCACAGACATGGCCTGTGTTTTAGAAGTGCCCTGTGTGCTTGAGTCTGCATCCTCAGTGACCTCGCCTCCTCCACACCTTTAGTGCCTGCTCTCCCCTCCCCACTGGCACTGCTGCAGCTGAGTAAGCCAGGGTCTTCTCCCAGAGCTGTGCTGCTCACCTCCTAAACAGAAGCTGCTCTGCTGGTCCTAGAAGTGGGTCACCGTCCAAAGCATTGTTCTTAAATGTAAGGGTATTTTATGTTATATAAGATCCAACCTAATTACAATAAGGTATTTGCATAGTCTCTCTTTCCTAAAGAGGTGTCCTTTTTCTGATGGCCTGAAAACCCAAAACAAACACATAGAAATCCATATACATTTTTATTGTCTTCATATAAGCAAATAACATGTTAAAAGTGACAGATTAAATAATGTGCAAAATAGTTTTCACCCTGTTTTTCAGAGCACCAGTTAGAACTAGCATGGTAATGGAAATATAGCATCAGTGTAGATATAGAAATGGAAATATAGCATGGGTGTAGATATGGGAAACACACACACTCAGATATTCTTATTTTTATGGGAATCTTTAGATGCCCCAACTTTGTGAACTGTTCATCATATTACATCATTTCCTATAATTTATCAACAGCTCAAATTCTGTAAATTTAGGCATTAATGTCTTCATTTTAAAAATGGAATTCATTGATGTGAAGAATAACATATTTATACTGAGTTCTTCTGGGTAACAGGCTATGAGCTCATCTACTTCCTATTTTAATCATTTAGTAATGTTTTGGAAAAAGCTTTCCCTCTGTATACGATTCATTCAATTCGTGTTAGCATTGGACTCCTCCAAGAGATCATGCCTGATTCCACATGGGGACCAGGTGAGATCACGGGGACCTCAGGTGATCATTTAATCTTCCTGTCCTGTAGTTGCATTTTTACCTAGTCCAGGCAGGAGGGTGGGTCTTATGCTGAGCCGTCCAACTAGGAAGATTTGGAGCAGTGGTGCCTTACTGACTTGTAGCTTACATGTTTGTAATTATCATCTTCATAGTTAATCATTTAAGAAAAAGAAAACAACAGTTAGGTGTTAATCATTTAGAGTAAAATAAAAATGAGTAAAATTCCCTTCGTAGATAACATCGTTGCTTCTTCTGCCCATGCCATGACTAGGAAATTTATACCTGGAACTTGGACCCTTCATAGCCTCTCTTTTCTCTTTGTATCATTCCTGTCATGGCAAGTTTTTCTATCATTCAGTCTCCTAAATATTCAGAATTGTGTTTTATATTTCTAGTCTATGTGTTTTGACTTCTTTATTTATATAGACTTGGTATGAGATTTTCTACTTTATATGTTTGTGTTCTTCCATCTTAAAAAAATACTGATGACACACCCTGTCCCAGCTATTCCTTCTGATGCTTATTTTGCATTATCAATGTTGAAAAGGAAGGAAAAGATATTAATAATTTGTTGCCATTATTCACATTTAATAATTTAAAATCAACTATCACTTTATAAAACTCTAGTAAGAATGAATAAAACTGTGAGAATTTATCATGAAACTTGGAAAGCATTTTGATAGCTATGAAATTGACAAATACTGATAGTTCAATATTCATGGTCAGGAGCCCAACAGGAGCGTAGAATCACAGCACAAAAGAGGTGGGAACACAGGCTCCTCTGCTTCTAACAACTTTAGGAACAAAAACTCAAGATCTCACACAGAAGATAAAAACACCAGATCCACAGCATGTGACACATTTGTTCCTTCATATTGAGTAATTATTGATGGCAGTGTTCCTGGCTATTGACTTGGTTTAATGGTTAAAATAGACAACATTCCACAGTCTGGAGCTCATATTTAGTGGGTGACACAGACAACAGAGCAGCAGCTCAGATGCATGCTATGAGGTGTGTGGACATTAGTGACAGCAAGAACCATAGAGCAGGAAGGAAGGACAGAGGGACAACTGGGAAGCAGCACTGAGCACCTCTCCAAGGAGGTGCTGCTGGGGTCCTCAGGCTCTGGACCACTCTGCACAGACTGAGGAGCAGGACCAGTCCTGGAGGGAGCCTGCCTGGGTCATCAGGACAGCAGCAGAGACAAGAGGGCCCTAGAAACTCAGGCCCCAGGGCAAGTGTGAAAGGAGGAGAGGACTCAGACTCTGCTCTGGACCAGGTGAGAGGCCAGTGGGTGTGGCATGGGGTCAGGTTCCCCTTCTGGAGCTCACAAAGGAGGCTCTGGTTGAGGAGAGAGCTGAGAGGAGGAGCCCAGGGCAGAGACTGGGCAGTGGGCAATGAGGACAGCTGGGGCTACCCTGGGTTAACAAAGGAACCCAAACATGCCAGGGAACCCTGAGGGACAGGGTGGGACACATTGAATCCTCTGTCTCTGGTCCCCATCTCAGGGGCTATTGCATCATAGGCTCTCAGCAGATCTGTTGATTAACTGAACCAAATATTAGCCTCAGACATAAGTCAGAATATAGACCAAAGTGAGAAAATGTGACTGGTGTTATCAGTCCTTCTTTAGCCTATAGACCCTGAAAAGTATGCATGAGCGTCTCTCAGGGACTTTCTCCACTCCTTTGATTTGTCCAAGTTTAACTTCAGAGGCAGACAGGAGCTAATAGCCCTGGCAGTGCCAAGCCCTGAATACTTAATATGCTATAAGTTTATGCCTTCTTTGGGCCCATCATTTTGAAGAGAGACCTGTGCTTACATTTAGACTATCTACTGTATACACTACAACTCAGAATATTATTAAGAAATTTTGATGGTAGTTTACTAGAATAATTTTTTTTTCTAAATTGAAACTCTCACATTTCAGGCAATGGTTGAGATCAGCTCAGGACATGTACATCTGTGAGTCTAAGCTTCTAGAATCTGGGTCATTGGAATTAGACATGAGGGTCAATTTTCATTGATTACCAGTGACTTACTTAATCAGGCATGGAATTTTATTTCATACCCCAGAATTACATAATACACCTGCTCTTGGCTACTTTATTTCTTGCAGAATAACCTTCTGGTTGCTATAAGGTTAAAGTTTAATCTCTCCCTTCATCATCCTATAAGACACACTGCTCAAATACAGAAAGTGAAGAAATTCTCACTGGAAAGGGCCTAATACATGTAGATGCAGCAAGTGTAGAAAGCTGAGTTTTTCTTGGTAAAGTCACAAGAAATGCACTTTTTTTTTTCTGGTGCTGTGGATTAAACCCAGGGCCTCATACATGTGAGGCAAGCACTCTACCAACTGAGCTATATCCCCAGCCTGTAATGCACACTTTTAGAAGTGTTGTAGATAATCAGCCCAAGACCTATAAGTAAATTTTTCCTGTGAGCCTCAGCTAACTCAGTCCCAACAGTTTCATATGAGAGCTGAGAAGATGGAATTGAATGAACTTTGTGTGTAGCACATAGAGGGGCCTGATTGTGTGTCCATCCCTTCACTTCCTCCCATACATTAAACATTGAGGACACTCAAGCCCAGAGAAATTCATGATTTCAAGGTCACATCACATGGAATTTCAACAGGTTTACATAGCCTCATTTTACATTTAAGTTTACTCATATTCTTTCTGGTTTACTATAGTATTGTGTGTGTGTGTGTGTGTTTGTGTGTGTGTCTGTGTGCAATATAAAGTGTTTCCTCATGAAAGAAAAACCACATCTCTAAAATAAAATAACAACCTGAGTTATCACTAACCCAAATCAACTGAGATCAATAGTATCATCGCAACTCACAATGTCCTGAGTTCTGCAGTTTTTATTGTGGGAGATGTAGTTTTATAACAACAAGATCCCCTCCTGAGAGTCCATTGAACTATTTAAAATATTTAAACCCAAGGCTATGTTCATAGTCAGCCAGGTTAAGCATCTTGGTCCTGCCACTGGGCAGCAGCCCTGAATCTGACCAAGCCTTCCCGAGCAGAGAAACCACAGGCAGCAGGAAGGAACACTCACAACACATTCAGAGCTCACTGCTCCCACCTCTACCACTGTCTTTATGCTCAAATCACAAAGCTCTTCACCTTGTGCAGTGTTCCCTATGATATCGCTTTGCTCACACATCTTCCTTTGCTATTATCTTGTTCAAGTGAAAACAGATAGAAATGTCACACTTACTTCCTTGGGTTATATAAGAGGGATAGGAAAAGCTAATGCATATGATATTCTTCTGTCAATTCTTAGATGTCCTTTTTTCTCCTCTAATTGATCCCAACCCCAAGAAAAGAGAATCCTTGATTTTTTCGCCTGATCAACTCCAGTTTAAGTTCGGACATATCAACCGTCTTTGTACCCAGAATTAATTTCTACAGGGATGCAAGCACTTACTCCAGAATGTGATTGCAGAGCTGTAAAGGATACTAGATAGTGATTTCTGAAATCCCCTCTTTGCGTAAGTTAGAGAACGTAGGATCAAGAAGATGCAGAAATTAATTATGAGTGCTCAGTTGAATAACAGCAATATTAGAAGAAGGGATAATTACCTTTTACTGTCTTGTCAGTTCCCAAAGGAAAATTGGCATTCATGACTAAACTAAATTATGCTATGAACAAATACCCTGATTTGGCTAAAGTGAAAAGTTGACACACAGGTCCTGTGATAATAATAGGATTTGGGCTCAGAGACAATCTAGACTGCCAACTTTACCCCCGACTGGGAAACTAAGCTGGGAAATTACATAAGACTAACTGAAGAACTATCTGAAAGAGTAATAAGACTAACAAGACTGCCAAGTGTCTTTTGCAGGGGTGGAAATTAATGAAAATGAGGATTTCTTATTATCTTATAAAACCTCAGATTTGGGAACCATGTAAGTGCACATTTCATGTTATCTCAGGCATTTATCTGTGACATGGAGTTTCCTGTGATAGGAAGTGATGGCAGAATATTGTTTAATGAGATAGGACTTTGTAAACACATTACCCATGTAATGGAACTATCCCCGCTTTAAATCTCATTAGTGGATCAGTTGTAAAGAGATATTTTACCATTGCTGTTCATCTTTGTGGATACATTATCTCCCCCGCCCCTTGCTCAGGGTGGTTCCCATTGCATATGCCTGCAGAACTGCCAGCTAAACTCCACCTCCACCCTGCAGCCAGTCAAGTCCATTTGGCAGGATGAAACGTTTCTGGAGAGGACTGCAAGCCACGGTGACAGGTCTGAGCTCAGTTTGATGGACACAACTCTCCGTTTTTCCCTTTGGATGTCACTATGTGTTCTTAATCTCCAAATCTAGCAATGCTTGCCTTGACCAAGCTCCAACAGCCTTCTACATTCCTTTAACTCAGCTTAGAAAAGAAAAATGTTATTAGGAAAACACCATCAGTCAAAAGTCAGATCTCTTGCACTAAGTCACTGGTCTCCTTCACTCTGGGCCCAGGTATGCAGCCTTGTTTCCACTGACAGAGCAGGAAGTGTCCCTTCTCTAGACTACCCTCTCCTGTTTTGGCAGGGAGCTCATTTCTTCTTTTCACCTCTCCTTTGTGGGCTCCTATCAGCTCAGTTGTCCTCAGAAGCCTCAGAAGCACCAAATATGAACTTTTCAGAGGACACAGGAGAAGTCACCAGGGTTAATCAGGACAAGGTCCCCACCACACACTGAATCTGCAGGCCTCATGATCTGAGCTTCCCGGGTTCCAGGGTCATGAGCAATGGACTGTGTCACTTATAAGTTAGTTTAAAACATCCTGTTAAAGCAGATTGAGGTACAGTTTCTTCTGTTCTTGTCAGTTGTTCTCCTTTGGAAAGGACCTAAGAAATACTGAGTAAATTAAGCGGAGGTGTTTAGTGCAGGCCCTATCCTCATTCCGGACAGTGAATAGTAAAAGGAACCAGGAACGTGGTCCACTCTGAAACAACCATGCCTTGGTGAACTCGGGCATCACTCTGAACATCGTTTGCTGGGGAGCCAACCTGGGGCATTGTGCCCTGCAATGTCAGTGATGGACTCACTCAAGCCCCTCTTGCTTATAGTGCCTATTTGTGTATTTTAACATGCACACAAAGAAAAGCAATCTGATAAGACTGATCTAAGATAGTCCTGAGATACCAGAAGGGGAAATAATTAATATCACAAACAACTGCTTCACAAACTGCCCAGCAGTTTGTCTTCACGACTACATTTGTTGTTCTCAGCAGGTTTTGATGGAACTGAAAAATGTGACCTTAAGACTAATTTTATGAAGCAGCTGCTAGACTTAACTTTCAGAGCTTGCCTGCTCCCATGATGACTCAGGAACATTCCTCTTCCTAATGAGCCTCCTCCTTTCCCCCTTTTTCCAGACATAGCGTAGTCCCTCCAACCTGTGCACAGTGCCCTGTATTACGAACCTATTCTTCAATCCCAGAGAAAAAGCCTTGTTTGAAGGTCCATCTCTTTTTTTGTTTGTGTGATTGATTGATTCACAATCAATCAAATTGATTGATTGATTGAATGCCTTTCCTTCAAAGATCAGAGATAGTGTAACTTTTCATGCTAAGAACTCTTTATTACCAGCAAATATGGAAAACTTTAAGGCACTCAGAAATGACTCTGAAATTCTTCACCTGTAGGTCCTCTGGAGTGAGAGAATACTTTAGTCATGCCCACTGCCATGTGATGCACACAGAGGCTCTCCTTCCCCTTCAATTCCTGACAGAGGTCCTGAACTTTGGAGATACCAGCCCCATGTGGCAGTGGACACTTGAAATGCATTTTCTGTCCATTGCTCTGTGCCATGAATTTAAAATGCACACACGGGTTGATGACTTAGAATGACAACAATAAAAGTGATATTTTCATAATAAATTCACAGAAATGAAAACATGTAAATATCAGTACAAGTTTTATTACATTAATAATACTATTGGAACAAACAATGTGTTATAATAACAAACTATAAATACCAGAATTAATTACAACAGTTAATTTTAACATTACTTATGTTTTCAACTAATTAATATATTAACAATCCTTACAAATGGTTATATGTGATGATCATTTTATTGTAAATTAATTTCACATTGAAGTGTGTCCAACAAAAGCTATGACTCTATATCTTACAGTTAGCTTGGTCATTGCAGCTCTAGGGCTTAGTCTGAATGGAAGGAGGAAATATTGAGGAGCAGGGACAGCCATGCTCATTTCTTCCTAGAGGAGAACATCCCCCACACTCTTCTCATGGCCCCCAGCACCTCCTTGTTCCTCAGGCTGTAGATGATGGGATTGAGCATGGGGGTGAGGATGGTGTAGAAGACAGCCATGTTCTTATCCTCTTCGGGTGAGCGGAGACTCTTGGGCTGGAGATAAGTGAAGGCAAAAGGAGCATAGTAAAATATTACCACAGTTAGATGTGTGGAGCACGTGGTGAAGGCCTTTTTCCTTCCCTCTTTTGAGCGCATGTGGAAGACAGCAAAAAGGACCGGTCCATAGGAGGCCATGATGCCAAGGAAAGGGAGGAGGAGAAATATGACTGTACTAAAAAAAATCATGTACTCGTAGACTGAGGTGTCTGCACAGGCTAAAGGCACCATGGCTGTAATGTCACAGTAGAAGTGATTGATGGCCCTAGACCTGCAGTAAGGAAGATGAAGGGTGTAGGTGGTGTGTGACACAGAGTTGATGGAGCCCAGTGTCCAGGACCCCAGGATCATCTTCACACATACCCTTTTACTCATGCAGACAGGGTAGTGGAGGGGGTGGCAGATGGCCACAAAGCAGTCATAGGCCATGGAGGCCAGAAGTAAGCCTTCAGAACATGCCATGGTGGCAAAGAAAAAGATCTGCATGACACACCCCAGGAAGGAGATGCTCATCTGGCCAGAGAGGAAGTTGATGGCCATCTTGGGGACAGTGGAGGAGATGTACATCAGGTCCACAAGGGAGAGCTGGCTGAGGAGAAAGTACATGGGGGTGTGGAGCCGTGGGTCCAAGAAGATGAGGGCAGTCATCCCTGAGTTCCCCAAACAGGCGAGAACAAACACAGAGATGATCAGGAGCAAGAGAAGTAGGCCTTTATGATTTGGGGGTAACAACCCCAACAAAATAAATTCATTTGAAGTTTGGTTCCATTTCTCCATGAAATTGTACTGCATTACTTTCCTTGAAAGAAAAACAAAAGTAGACACTAATGACTAAACATTAAATAAAGCATAAAAGTGGAATAAAAAGGCATTGTTTTATTAGTGTTTTTTAAAATGAATTATTTTTTCTTCAATACCTTAGCCTTTTTTCAATTGCTTTTAAGACTTGATTTCCATGTTCCTGCCCAGTTCTCTCAGATAATCACCTCAGAAGTAGTAGACAGATGTAAGGTCTTAAGATATAAACTCGAGTACCACTTGTGTCAAACCCAGTGAGGTAGCTGGAGCCTTCCTGCCTGCTGACTCCCAGGACTATGCACCAGGCTCAGCCCTGGAGGAAGCCAGGATCCTGCTTTCCCAGCTCCCCAACTCAGCACTCAGGTTCACCACAGACATGGCCTGTGGGGCGCAGAAGTGCCCTGTGTGCTTGAGTCTGCATCCTCAGTGACCTCGCCTCCTCCACACCTTTAGTGCCTGCTCTCCCCTCCCCACTGGCACTGCTGCAGCTGAGTAAGCCAGGGTCTTCTCCCAGAGCTGTGCTGCTCACCTCCTAAACAGAAGCTGCCTGCTGGCCCTAAAAGTGGGCCACCATTCAAAAACATTCTTCTGGAACACTAAGGTATTATAGACATTATGTAATATCATTAATAACATACAGGTATTATATAATATCCATGCTAATGATAATGTGCTCTTTGGCCAGTCTCTCATTCCCAGTGAGGTTTTCATTTTTGAATCCCCACAATCTCAAAATCAAACACATAGATATTCATACACATTTTTTTTTCTTTTTTTCATAGAAACAAATTGCACATGAATAAGATGAAATATTATGCAAGGTTTTCACCCTATCTTTCCCAGCAGCCATCTAGAACTAGTGTGATAATGGACATGTAACATAAGTTTGAAAAACAGAATCATACACTCAGATATTCTTTCTGTTTTTAGGTGAATCTTTGAGATGTCCTACCTTCATTCACAGTACTTCATTCATCACAATCTGTGTACTCCCAGTTCTATAAATTTAAGTCTTAATGTCTTCATTTTCCATAAATTACCAGTAAAATTCAGTGATGGGCATAATAGTGTTTTCACATAAAATTTTGCTCAGGATCAGATTTCGAGTCTGTGTGCCTACTTCATGTTTGTAATTGCATACTAGGGGTTTATTAAATGCTTTACCATGAGTACAAGAGTCATTTGATCAGTTTATATAAATATTGCTCTCCTCCATACTCCAGGCTCGGTCAGGCTAGGTCAGGCCTAATTCCATACTCCAGGCTAGGTCAGGCATGTAGACCTTGGAGAGAATGTTCATTTCCCTTCCTGTCCAGTGGTTTAGTTTCACTAGGTGTAGGCAGGAGGTGACTCTGCTGCTGAGCTGTTCACCTAGGAGGGAACATGACCAGAGGTGGCTTCCAGACTATAGTTTAGTCAGGTGTGTTTTTGCCCCGTTCAGAGGAACTTATTTAAGTAAAGCAACATAAATTAGATGTCAACATTCACAGTAAAGAAATCAAAATCAGAAATTAATGATTAACTTTACATCCTAGATAATTTTTTTTCTGACTTAATATGCCCAGGCCTGTAATTGGGAACTTATATCTGTCATTCAGCTCTTTGTAGCATCCTTTCCAATTTAAGTCATCTCAATTCTGGCAATTTGTTTTTCATTCTCCCAAGTACACTGTGATTGCATCATTTCTTAAGTTCCCAACATATGTGATTTCCATCTTCTCTCATCTTGTGTCCGTATGGGATTTTCTACTTTATATATTTGTGCTCTTCCGACTGAAATGCTGATGTCCCATCCTGTAACAGATATCCACTGGGTAACCAGATTGTGTAACTAATTTTTCATAAAAAAACAATTATTAATTCTTTGTTATAAAAACTCACATTTAGTAACAAAACAATTATTGCTTCATATAACTGTGGTAATCATGAAAAAAAACTATGCAAGAGAGCTTATCATAAAAAGTAGCAATGCATTGTTAGAACTAGCTAGTTGACAAAATATGACAGTGAAAACCTTCATGGAGAGGACTATAGTAGAACCACAAGGTCACCGGGTAGCAGGAGAGGTGGGGTCCCAGGCAGCTGTGTGCTGAATGACTTAGAGATAAAAACCTATGACATCATAGGAAAAGACAACTGCAAGGCGTCTTCACAATGTATCCATTCCTTCAAATTAAGTTTCCATTTGGGGGCACTGCTGCTGCATATTGTCTTGCTCTAGTGGTTAAAATACACAACATTACACACTCTGGAGCTCATATTTAGTGGGTGACACAAACAACAGAGCAGCAGCTCAGATACATGCTGTGAGCCGTGTGGAAAAATTAGTGACAGCAAGAACCATAGAGCAGGGAGGAAGGACAGAGGGACAGCTGGGCAGCAGCACTGAGCACCACTCCAAGGAGGTGCTGCTGGATCCCTCAGGCTCTGGACCACTCTGCAGACTGAGGAGCAGGACCAGCCCTGGGGGAGCCTGCCTGGCTCATCAGGGCAGCAGCAAGGACAAGAGGGCTCGGGAAGCTCAGGCCCCAAGGCAAATGTATAGGGAGGAGTGAGGACTCAGACTCTGCTCTGGACCAGGTGAGAGGCCAGTGGGTGTGGCATGGGGTCAGGTCCCCTTCTGGAGCTCACACAGGAGGCTCTGGTTGAGGAGAGAGCTGAGAGGAGGAGCCCAGGGCAGAGACTGGGCAGTGGGCAATGAGGACAGCTGGGGCTATCCTGGGTTTAGCAAAGGAAGCCAAGCATGCCAGGGACCCCTGAGGCCTGGGCACATCAGCACAGCTGGGTGCTGCTTAGGGACAGTGTGGGACCCACTGAGTCCTCTGTGTCTATCTCTTGCACCAGGGGCTATTGCATAGTAGGCTCTTAGCAAATCTGCTGATCAACTGAACCAAATAATAGCCTGAGGATTAAATTTGTAAAATATTTCAAACTAACAAAATGTGACTAGATCATTTTATAAATCAGTTTTGGGCATCCATACCCTAGAAATAATGGCATGGCAGAGTCTTGAGTTTCTTTCCTAAATCCTTTGTTTATTTTGATTTAAATTGAGAGAAAGGAAGGTGCCAACAGTCTGGTAGGACCAATCCCTGAACACACTCTTGCTTTAAGTTTATGTCTTCCAAGGGCTAGTCATTTTAAAGATAGGCTATATTTATATTAGATTCTTTGTTGCATAGATTAGAGTTCAGAGTATCATAAAATAGATTGATGTTAGTTACCAGAAAAACTATTTTTTCCCTAAATTGAAAATATTTATGTTGTCAAGTATGAAGGAAAAGAGTTCCATCAGGATCACATAATTCACTTTGGATTTCAATTTTTTAGGATCTGGGGCTTTGGAGTTAGACATTCATTCTTTATTGGATTGAGGTGTTATTTTTTTGCAACAGAATTACATGAAACACAACCTTCTTGGTTACAATATAACTTGGAGAATACAGTTCCTTGGATTTCAAGGTGGGTCTAAGATGAGAGTCTCCCTTGACCATCTTACAAAGCACATGGTTCAAGTATATAGTTTAACGACCCTCATTTCACCAGGACATATAGTGTAACAAGTGTAGGACTTTGGTTTATCTTCCAAGTATTAAGAGTAATGCAGTTTTTAAAACATTGCAGCCAATCATCAATGAGCAAGACTAATGAGCAAGCTGCCTGAACTTAACTCATTTCCAGCATCCCCAGGTGGGAGCTGTGAAGGGAGTAAGCAAGCTCTGTGTGTTCGGCACACAGTAGGGCCTTAAGCTGTGTCCATCTTCCCTTTTCCTTTCATACCTCAAACATGGAGGAAACTCATGCCCAGAGGCATTGACTGTCTCAATTATGGTCAACCCCCCTGAGAGAAGCACATTGTTGAATTTTAACAAGTACCCATCACCTACATTTAAGTTGAAGTTTAACCTTAGCTTTTCCAATTTGCTGAGGAACTGCCCATCCTTTTACACAGAAAGTGTATCCTGACCCTAGAAAAAAACAAGCCTCCAGAATGTCCCCCTTAGATAAACCTAACCCACACTTAACTTGGTTCAATAATATCACGGGTCTTACCTTGTCTGAGGTTCTGAGTTTTTATTTGAGAGGAGTAATTTTATAATTATGACATTCATTGCTGAAAGTTCATTGAGTTCCTTAAAATATTAAAACCCAAGCCATGTTCCAGACTTCCAGGCTAAGCAACTAGGTCCTGCCTCTGAGCAGCAGCCCTGGCACAAGAAGACAAAGGCACCAACTAGGAAGGAATCCTTAGAACACATTCAGCGCTGACCACCCCCACCGATAGGACTCCCTTAGGCTGAATCACAGAGCCTTTCATCCTTGTGCAATGTCCCCTATGTTACCACTTTGCTCAAACACCCTCCTTTGCTATTACCTTGTTCAAGTGAGAACAAAGAGACCTGTCATACTTCCTTCCTCAGGTTCCACAGGGGGAGAGAAGGACAGCTGCTCCACCTGGTGTGCAGAGCCTTCCTTCAGGAGCTTTATACGTCCTCCCTCCCCTCTAATTGGTCCCCAATGTCCATGCCCACAGGGACAGAAGCCTCAGCAATCACCTGACTTTGCTGACTTGGAGATGAAATCAGCTCAAGTTCAGAGCAAATCCACCAACCTGCTCAGCTCTGCCTCTGTCACCTGCTGCCCAAAACTAGCCTCAGGAGGAAAGAACCAGTTATCCCAGAACATGTTTGGAGGGCTGTAAGGGGTGATATGCAGAGATTACTGAAACCTCTTGTTGTGTACGTTAGAGGATCAACAATATGCAGGAATCACATGAACCTTCAGCTGACCAGGAGCAATCCCTTCTATAGTCAGTTTCCAGAGCAAATTGTTGTTTGTGACTAACGTTTTTTTCAGGGAATGAAACAAGCAGTTAAAGTGTTTGTGATCGATTTAAATAATGCTATCACAAAATACTTTCTTCTATTTGAGGAGAGGTAGGTAAGTGATTCATGAAAATACTAATGCAGTCAGACATTCTACTAAGGTGAAAAGTTGACTCAAAGGTCTCATGATGCAATGAGGATTTAGACTTGGAAAGATGAGTCTAGCCTGCCACATCCACCACTGATTGGGAGACTGAGTTGGATTTTTTTAAGACAATGGTTTGTTGCCAAATTCTTTTAAAATAATGACTAATAGCATCTGGAAATTAAGTGGAAGTATGTATGCCAAGTGCTCAAAAAGTATCAGTTGCAGAGATAGGATGAATAGATATGAGAATCTCTTATTATCTTGTTCACTTCACACATTGTCAAAAGAGAGAAATGCACATTTCAAGGTAGTTTTGATACTTACCTGTTGGAATAACTTTCAGTCTCAGCTAGCAGGTACTAGCAGCTCAGAATTGCCTGAAATATCCACCTTCCTTCAGGCCTGACAGGAGGACCTGCAGAATGGGGTGAAACCACATCCTCAGCACTTGTGGTTTGCATTCCCAAACTGCCCAGCCAGGAAACTGAGAGTCAGGGGCTTCAGGGCATGAAACCCCTGACTCAGTAAGGGCTAAAGACCCTTACAGATTGCTTTCTGCCACTACAGGAATATTTAGAGTTTCCTCACGGTGCAGTTACATTAGGCAGAAGATGATTGGCTTGTGGATATTGTCTTGCTTATGTATGATTGACAGGCACGCCCCACTCAAACCCTATAACAGTTGTGTGCATTCCAAAAATAAACTGAGCTACTGGATGACAACCTGAGGTGGGTCTCCAGCCAGTTCTCTCACCAGGTCCCAGAGTCTGTGTGTTGATTCTGCATCTCTAACCACTGTGACAAGGCAGCTGAGTGACCACCGACCACGAAGGGACTTAGAAACGCATTCACTTACCTGTGACATAGAGCCTTTTATCTGAGGAAGAAATTATAGAATATCATTTAACTTAATAAGATTGGATTCAATACATAGTTGCGACCCATATGATGGAAGTATCATGAAGTGCTAATCTTAACAAATGATTCCATTGCTTTAAATCTCAGGAGTGGATCAGTTATAAACATAGGAGAGCTCTTGTCGTTTCCGCTTATCTTTTGTGGATGCCTTCTGTTTCCCCCGTGTGCGGGTTCTTCTGCTGTAGACCTACAGAACTCCTAGGCCTGGTACCTGCACAGTCCATGGGGAACCAGGGAGTGGAGCTGGAGAAGAGTGCCATCCAGGGTGATGGATCTTGGCTCACATTTATGAACACAGGTCCCACACTGACCCCTTTGGCTTGTCACAGTATGTTCTTCCTCCCTAAAACTTAGGAGGGCATTCCCTGTCTGAATGCCAGAGTCCTTCCACATTCTTGACTCACTCCTTGTGGAAAAGAATTAGTGTGTTCACAGTACCTGGTCATCCAGCGTTGATGCCTCCTTCCACTGAACTTGGCCTCATGCACTCTGCACCCACATGCTCAGCCTCCTGTCCAGGGACAGTGCAGGAAGCAGCTGTGCTTGAGCAATTCCACCCCTCTGCCTTTGTTCTGCACTTCATCTCCTAGTTCTAGTTTTCTCTCAGCTGCATCTTTAAAAAAAATTGCAACATAATGTTTTTAGCCCAATGGTGGGTTTATGGAATTCAATAATGCTCTTTAAACCTACAAAAAAAATTGAAGGAGCTGACCTGACATTGAGTTTCTTTTTCTGTCTGTAGAGATGGAAGTTGTTCATTTTTAAGGTAGAGTAATGGCGGAAATGATGGAGAAGGGTTTTCAAGGATGGTGATCAAGAGGGCACCCAGGGTGAAAGAGACGGCTCCAGGGTGGTGTCTCCAGGACCAGAGGACCTTGTGTACGTGGATAGATCATGTCCACTTCATGTTCAAGGGAAGGTGGGTTGCCAAGGTGAAGAGGCCCCTGGGAGGACTTTGCCAGAGAAAGCTGGTGTGATGGGCACTCCTCAAGAGCACGTCAGGCTGACTTTGGAAGACTAGGAGGCCAGGAGAAGGGTATACACCAGTGACCACTGTGGATAATGACAAATGGCTACTAAGGGGTTTGGGAACAGCTAGGTGAGAATAGTGACTTTGGGGAATGGGTATATATAAATAGATCCTTTTGGAATGTTATTATGTTTTTAGCACATTTATATACTGATTTGAGTACAAAAAGTTTGTTCTGGTCCCAAAAGAGCTGCAGATATTTACACTCTCCAGGGCATTCCAGCAGTCCTTCCAGTCCCTTGCTGTATACTCCATGGGTCCTTTAGAAGTGGCTGTGGTGGTTTAGACAGAGTCAGTGCAGGAGCTCATCAGCAAGAGGTTGGCCTCACCAGGGCTAATTTGTTATTATTATTGAGACCTAATATTGATTCATCTTTCTGGGGTCCCACAAAATAATTGATACTTTTTATAGTATGTTATAGAAAAATATAAGTGCTGCAGTAAGCACTTCCAGCTCCTCAGACATTAATCATTTCTGTGTGTTGGGAATTTTCACAGGCTTCCAGCTATTTTAGAATATATTATGGATGACAGTAGCCAACATATGATATTTGTCTTTCTGTGACTGTTTTACGTCACTTAATAACTATGAGTGCTATCTAATGTTGCTGCAAATGACAGGGTTTCACTCTTTAATATTCCGTTTCGAATGGGTACATTTCTTCACCCACGTGTCTCTTGCTGGGAACCTTGGTGGGTTCCATCTCATGGCTCCTGTGCATAGAACTGCAATGTCCATGGAGGGCATGCCTGTCTTGGACAGAATCACTTTATTTCCCCTGGACATATACCCAGTGATAGGACTGCTGGATCCTGGGAGAGTTCTATTTTTAGTTTCCTAAGAACCCACAAACTGTTTTCCATAATGGCTATGCTAATTTATATCTCCACCAACAGTGAATAAGATATCACCTTTTCCATAGCCTCATGATTATTTGTATTTTTATTTATTCATATATTTTTGCTTTTTTATTATAGCCTTTCTAACATGAGTGAGATGATTTTAATGATTTAAATGATTTAAATGCAGTTTAAATTTGCATTTTCTTCATGACATTTTGACCACTTTTTACAGACTTTGCCATTCCCACGTCATTGAGAGTGTCTATTCAGATCTTTACCCATTTACCAATAGTTACTTTTTCCTTCAGGACTGATTTAGTTACTATCTGATCTCCCAAAAAGGTAAACCAAAGCTTAGCCTTCGACGTGGCCTCCTTCAGAGAAGCTGAGCAGCCTCCTGGAGGCAGGCTGATTGTCTGGAATCTTCCAAGCCTCAGAGGGTGTCAGTCAGTTCTCCAGCACATGGACATAGGTTCATCTTCTGGGTTTGGCAGCCTGTGTGATTGCTTCAGTGGGCAGAAGCCCTTCCAGGAGTTTGCACTGTCTGTCATTCCTGGATGGACAAAGTTATACATGGGTTCCTCTAGTGTGTGACTCTGGCCAACAGGCAGATCTTGTGGGAAGCGAAGTGGGCAGAGAACTCCTTCCCATTGGAATCCCATGAAAATAGAAGAGAGATCAGTGGTGTAAAGGAAGGGATTGACGGGGAGACAGGAAGGATGGGATAAGGGAAGAACAGTGGGATAAATCTGTGCAAATTTCCTATGTGCACACATGAATGTTCCACAGTGAACCTCACCTTCACTTATATCCATAGTATACAACATTGCTAAAAAGTTTATAATAAATAGAAGAGAACCAGTTCAGTAGCAGAAAGAGAACAGGACTAGGGAGGAGGGGAATAAAGAGGGAGGTACTAGACACTGAACTGGAGTGGATTTTATTCATATCGTGTGTCAAAGGAGCCCCAACGCTGTGCATGATCACGACGATGCCCTAATACAACACTCAATAGATAATTGTGTGTACGTGGAGGGTTCAAGTCCTCCCTCTGCTCCTTCCACCGTCTACTTGTCCAGCTTTATTCCACAACCACACTGTTTTGATTATTTAGCTGATGGAAATTTTTAAATCAAGAAGTGTCAGTCTTGAAATTTTATTTTAAAAAAAGAAAATTAAGGGCTGAGGATGTGGCTCAAGTGGTAGCATGCTTGCCTGGCATGCGTGGGGTGCTGGGTTCGAACCTCAGCACCACATAAAAAAAATAAAATGAAGATATTGTGTCCATCGAAAACTGAAAAATAAATATTAAAAAATTCTCTCTCTCTCTCTCTCTCTCTCTCTCCTTCTTTAAAAAAAAAAAAATGCCGCAGTCTGGCTGGGCACAATCAGGAGCCACTTGTCAAAAGAAACTAACTTTATTTTTAGAACCACACACGCCAAACAAAACAGCCTCTCAGGAAAAACCCTCAGAGCCTCAACTGCCACCACTGGCTTTCCACAAGCCTCTCTCTCCCACCCAAGCTTCTCTCCACCTCCCACAATCCTCCTGCTCTTGAGGCCGATTGGCTGGGTCACGTGGGCGGAGCCAAAAAAGTCCCCCAATGAGCAGCTCCGTGGTCTGAAAGGGCAGGGAAACAGCCCAATGAGCATCACCGCAGAGGAGCCAATCAGCTAGATGTTGCTGGGGCCGAGGAGCCAATCAGCTAGATGTTGCTGGGGCCGCTGTGAGCCAATCATCAGCCAGCAGCTTAATTGAGATTGTGTTTGCTGTTCAGAATCCCTGCACATTTCATATAAATTTTATGATGCGATTTCTATTTCGGTGGGGGGGGGGTAGATTTTAATTGGTATTGCCTTGTGACTTTAGGTAACTTGTGTATTGTGACACGGTGTTAAGCCTTCCAGACCATGATTGCAGCTCTATTTCTATCTAGTTGTCTTCTTTAATTGGATTCATCAACTCTCGACCATCATCAATGTTTAAGCCTTTTGTCTCTGTAGTTAAGTTTACTTCTAAATGCTTTATTTCTTTTAATTGCTTTTGTGAATAGAAATATTCTAACAAAAACATTTTCAGAGTCATTTTTGGTTTATAGTAATACAACATGTAATCATTATTAATTTTGGATGCTGAGACTTTGAAATTTTCACTTTTTTTCTTTTCATCTCTCTTTTTCATTGGTACTAGGGATTGAACTCAGGGCCACCTGACCACTGAGCCACATCCCCAGCCTTATTGTGTATTTTATTCAGAGACAGGGACTCACTGAGCTGCTTAGCACCTCACTTTTGCTGAGACTGGCTTTGAACTCATGATCCTCCTGCGTTAGCCTCTGAGCTGCTGGGATTACAGATGGTTGTCCTCCTCCTCCATCTTTTCTTTATTTCTTTTTTTTTTTTGATACTGAGAATTAAACCCAGGGGTGTTTGGCCACTAAGATACAATCCCAGCCCCTTGCATATTTTATTTTAATACAGGTTGTCACTCAGTTGCTTAAGGTCTCACTAATTTTCTGAGGCTGCCCTTGAACTTTCGATCCTCCTGCCTCAGCCTCCTGAGTCACTGGGATCTTTGTTGGGCAAACTCTCCTGGTCATTTATTATCTCTAACAGTTTTCTGAGTGTGGAATCATGAGGTTTCCCGTGTATGTTATGATGTCATATAAAAATAACAATGGTGTTATTTTTTTCCCAAAATAGGATAATTGTATTTAATTCTTCTTGTGTGACTTTTGAGGCTCCACCTCCAATTGCACATTGAATGGAGCCCGGGAAAGCGAGTGTATTCACCCTGTTCTACATAATGCACAAGATTTTAACCTTTCACTGTGTACAAAGATGTCGCTCTGAGTTAAATTCTCAACATGATTTCACATTAAGATTTAGCTCAAATAATGCATGGACATGATCAGCAATGCACAGGACAAAGTGTCTTCCCAACACCAGGCAATGACATCAAATAGTTCTACATTTTTCTCCATATTTGCCCACTTGTTCTCAAGTCACATGCTTTTCTTCTTCGAATCCCACAGCCACGCACCAACTCCTGGCTCAGATCTTGGCCCGAGGCTGGGAACTGGCTCCAGGCCACATCACCCTCAGCATGGTGCTCACAATCCTCCCAGACTCTCACGGGGCTGTGTCCCTCCCGATGGCTCAGGGGAGGGTGGACTCCAGGCTTCTCATTGTCAACACTAGTGCTCTCTCCAACACTTTAGGATCTCGTTCCCAAAGAGAGTTTCTCATGAAAATTCTTTCAATAAAACATTCCTCATTCATTGTGTGATGTTTTCATGCTGCTTTCAGACAATAGCACAGATATTTAATTTCTGAGAATTTTTCTTTCACAATATGAAACTTATTATTATTTCATTATAAACATTTCTAGGAAAGCCCACAAGCATACATCAGTTCTCTTTTTTTCCTCCCCTAGATTTTCTACCTTTTCTAAATGTCAGTCCTCTAGTATTATTGCTTCTGTTTTGTTTTCCTTCTGGGAGATTTTAACAAGTTTGTCTTTTAACTTTTTTCTTCTTCATTTCTCAATCAGTATAATTTGCTTTCCAACAGAATTTTATCATTCTCTTCCTCTTATAAAACTTGAGGAGAGGATACGTGTGTCCTTTCAATAATATCTTGAAATATGTCTGAAATTTTGAACTTTTATTTAAAATGATCATTCTCTTGCTTATTCTTCAAATCACTTTCAACTTAACATATATGCATATATGTGAGTTTTTGTGTCTTAGTGCAAGTTTCCACTGTGTGGACTTATTGCTTCCTGATGTTAGATTTCCTCATAAATTCAGTGACTTTGGCTGTAAGATAATAGAGAAGCATAAAAACTTTATGCTTTGGGGGAATGTTTTGCAAATTGTCCAATTTTCATCTTTTATCAGGAGCAGAACTCCCTACGCATCTCTGCAGAGATTCTCTGGATACTATCTCCTCTTTCACAGGCACCTGACCACTCCTCTATCAAGAGTCCTCCTCCATGCTCAGCATACTCCATTTACATGGCACATGGACCCTGCTACTCCTGGATCAGGCCATGTCTGTCAGACGAGATGTCCCATTGCTCCATGTGATGGTTTAGATGTGACGTGTTTCCCAAAAGCTCAAGTGTGAGGCAATGTAAGAGGATGTAGAGGTGCAACGATTGGGTTGTGAGCCGCTTAGCCTACTGGGTGCATTTATCCACTGAGGGATGACTTGGTGGCAACTGTTGGCAGGCAGGGTGTGGTTGAAGAAGGTGGGTCCATAGAGGTGTGCCTTTGGGGATTTTATTTTGCTTTTGTTGAGCAGAGTAGTCTCTCTCTGCTTCCTGTGGCCATGTACCCTATCCTTCTGCAGCCCTGAGGAATGGAGTCGGCCATCTATGGACTGAGACCTCTGAGAATGTGACCCCCAAATAAATTATTCCTCCTTGAAATTGTTCTTGTCAAGTCTTTTGATCATAGCAACAAAAAAGCTGACTGGTATACTATGTATCAAACATCTATTCAAGTGGATTAGAGAAAGTGAACATGTGTGGGCACTCCTAGCACCTGTTAGGTGGCAATTAGATTTAATTGTGATTAATTTTGAGAATAATATTCTTCCTTGTTTTTCTAGTGTTTTTTATAATCTTTAAAAATTTAAAAACCATTGGGATAAATTGATGATTATTTCAAAATACAAATCTCAATATGTCTGATTCTAATGGTTCTCATGGAGCAATTTATTTTCTAAAAAGATGTAACTCTTTGTGGAAATGAATTTCATGTCAACCTGAATATGAGTGCATGTGTAGAGAAAGAGAGTCAGAGAGAGAGAGAGAGAGGTGGATAGATAGGTAGATTTATTGATTGATTGATTGATTGAGGGTGGAGGGAGTTGCTATTGATGTTGTAATTTGTTTGGTTGATTTTGTGCAATTATAGGGATCTAACTCAGGTTCTTATGTCTGTGAAGTAAGATCTTCACCAGAAAGGTATATACATCAGGCCTTAGATTTAAATTGAAAAACCAGTCAATAATACTAAAATGAATCTTACATTTATGGTAATTTATAGAAGTTATATTTAAAAATCTGAAACACATGGTGTGGATGTATGATTCAAAGCCTATTTATATATGTTATCACAGGTTTCTCAATTACAGGGTAAATTCAAGTAATTCTTTACTATTAATAACTGATTCATCTGGCCCTGTATAATGAAATAATGTTTTATCCAACCAAAAACCTCTACTATTAATTACTTAAATCTTTAAATGACCTTTATTCTTACTTCTGTTTTATAACAGGTGGGTGTTTGCTTTGTATTGCAGAGTATTCAAATCCATAGATTATGAACTTGATGAATTTTTTTTTGCATTTTCTCAATTTCTTTTTTAAAAATTTTTTATTAGTTGCTCAAAACATTACAATGATCTTGACATATCATACAGTTGATTCAAATGGGGTACATAATCTTAATATTATTTTTCCACGTGTACAGATTGCAGGATCACATTGGTTATACAGCCACTTTTATACATAGGGCCATACTAGTGTCTATTGTATTGTGCTGCCCTTCCTATCCCACCCTCCCCTCTCCTCCCCTCTTTCTACCCAATCTACTGTGACACGTTTCTCTCTCTCTCTCTCTTTTTTCTTCCCCCTCACACCATCTTATATGTAATTTTGCATAACAATGAGGGTCTCCTACCATCTTCAGTGCAATTCCCATTCTCACTCCCATTCCCACGCACCTCTTGTCCCTATTTAATGATAATCTTCTTCTCATGCTCTTCCTCCCTGCTCTGTTTTGAGTCGCCCCCCTTATATAAAAGAAGACATTCTGCATTTGTTTTTTAGGGATTGGCTAGTTTCACTTAGCATAATCTGCTCTAATGCCATCCATTTCCCTGCAAATGCCATGATTTTGTTGTTCTTTAGTGCTGAGTAATATTCCATTGTGTATAAATGCCACATTTTTTTATCCATTCTTCTATTGAAGGGCATCTGGGTTGGTTCCACAGTCTAGCTATTGTGAATTGTGCTGCTATGAACGTTGATGTAGCTGTGTCCCTGTTGTATGCTCTTTTTAGGTCTTTTGGGTATAGTCCGAGAAGGGGAATAGCTGGGTCAAATGGTGGTTCCATTCCCAGCTTTCCAAGGAATCCCCATACTGCTTTCCAAATTGGCTGTACCAATTTTCAGTCCCACCAGCAATGTACAAGTGTATCCTTTTCCCCACATCCTCGTCAGCACTTGTTATTGTTTGACTTCATAATGGCTGCCATTCTTACTGGAGTGAGATGGTATCTTAGAGTGGTTTTAATTTGCATTTCTCTGATTGCTAGAAATGGTGAGCATTTTTTCATGTATTTGTTGATTGATTGTATGTCCTCCTCTGAGAAGTGTCTGTTCAGATCCTTGGCCCATTTGTTGATTGGGTTATTTGTTTTCTTGTTGTTTAATTTTTTGAGTTTTTTGTATACTCTGGAGATTAGAGCTCTATCTGAAGTGTGAGGGGTAAATATTTGTTCCCAGGATGTAGGCTCCCTATTTATCTCTCTTATTGTTTCTCTTGCTGAGAAAAACTTTTTAGTTTGAGTATGTCCCATTTGTTGATTCTTGATTTTAATTCTTGTGCTATAAGTGTCCTATTAAGGAATTTGGAGCCCTACCCCAAGAGATGGAGATACTTGGGAATCAACCTAACAAAAGAGGTGAAAGAACTATACAACGAAAACTACAGAACCCTAAAAAGAGAAATAGAAGAAGACCTTAGAAGGTGGAAAAGATATACCTTGTTCATGGATAGGCAGAACTAATATCATTAAAATGGCCATATTACCAAAAGTACTCTATAGGTTTAATGCAATGCCAATCAAAATCCCAAAGGCATTCCTCGCAGAAATAGAAAAAGCAATCATGAAATTCATCTGGAAAAATAAAACACCCAGAATAGCAAAAGCAATTCTAAACAGGAAGAGTGAAACTGGCGGTATAGCAATACCAGATTTTAACCTACACTACAGAGCAATAGTAACAAAAACAACATGGTACTGGTACCAAAACAGGCAGGTAGACCAATGGTATAGAATAGAGGACACAGAGACCAATCCACAAAATTACAACTACCTTATATTAGACAAAGTTGCCAAAAGCATGCAATGGAGAAAGGATAGCATCTTCAACAAATGGTGCTGGGAGAACTGGAAATCCATATGCAACAAAATGAAATTGAATCCCTTTCTCTCACCTTGCACAAAAATTAACTCAAAATGGATCAAGGAGCTAGGAATCAAACCAGAAACTTTGTGTCTAATAGAAGAAAAAGTTGAACTTGATGAATTCTTACAAGTGCCTGTTTTCTATTCTTGCAATGATCACATATATACTCTTATTTAGTTATAATTTTCTAGTGAAATATAGTGCCCAAGTATGGGCATTCCCCTTGGCAAGGAGGTTGCATGGTAAGCGTCTTGCAGACTCCACAGTGGCTCTTTGTCTCTTCCAGGCAAAGACACTTGCTGCCCTCTGTGACATCTGCTGCTGCTGCCATCACTGCCATCATGGTGCAGGGAAACCATGAGCAGCTCCAAGATGTGTGTAAATACATGAAAGGCACAAGTTAATTGCTCTGTGCACAGGTTGCTTGAAAGCAAAAGTGTGAGCTCTGCTGCTGTGGGTAGAGATGAGAATGAACACCACGGAAAGATTGTGTCCTCCCCAACACATATTAAATGCAACCCCACAGTGGTAGTATTGGAGGTGGGCTGTTCAGGAGGTGCTCCATCAGTCATAATGCAGGACCTCACAAATGAGTGGGAGCTCTGAAAATCACTTCTGAGGAGCTTGTTCACCCTCACCTCACATGGGGACACAGGACGGGGGCACCGTATTTAACCTGGATGCGGCCCTCACCTTGCATGGAATCTTCAGGGATAGATTTACATTGCTCATTTGCCTCCTACCTAAAGGTGTCTTGTTATCGCAGCTTCAATGCACGAAGGTACAATCTTTGCTGTTCTGGTCGCTTGCTGTCCCTGGAACGAATCCAAAGGATACGGAATTCAGCAGAGGTGCTGAGTGCAGGCCCTGTGTTCATACTAGATAGTGAACGGTGGAGACCACCAGGAGCCTGGTCCACTCTCCTCTGAAACACCATGGTCTTGGGGAACTCATGTCAGCACTGTGCCCTGTAATATCAGCATTGGAATCTCTCAATCCCCTCTTGCTGATGTGGAAGCTAAGCACACAAACAAAACGACCCTTGTAACACCCCTCTAAGGCAGAGCTGAGGTGCGAGAAGGAGGAAGCACCAAGGTGACACACAACTCCTGCAGAACAGCCCCAGCAGGACAATCCAGGGAAACTGTTACCTTCAAGACTGCCACTACCACTGTTGATGGAGCTGTCCACCATGACCTTGAGACTAGGTTTACCAAGTAGCTGCTGGACTCCCTTCAGAGCTTGCCTGCTCACTGAACAACTCCTGCAGATTCCTCCTAATAAGCCCTCAACCTCCCTGTGTTCTCCAGACACACTTAAGTCCACCCAGCCTGTGCACTGGTATCCTGCAGGCTTTATTCCCAGAGAAAAATCTATTTCTGAAGATTCATCTATGTTTGCATGTTTGGTTGACTTGTAACACTGATGTTGCTGCAGAGGTCACAGTTAATCTAATATGTCATGCCCATAACTGTGGACGACCAGCAAATATGGAGAACCACAGGATCTCAGAAATGACTTTGTGAAATCCTTTGCCCTAGCAAGTCCTCTGGCTCAGGAGTACAATAAAGCAACACCCACTGACATGGGACTGCACCCACTAAGGCACTTCTTTCCTCTTAGCCCATGACATTAGGAAGCTGCATGTAGAAAACACAGAGAGAAGTTCAAATTTCTGCCATCCAATACCTTCTCTAGAAGCTTCTACTGTAGATAATCTTGAGTGTTGGGCAAATGTTACCTCTTGGGGAGACTCACCCACATTATCTCCACCTCACAGTGTCCCTAGAGCCCTCTTCACTATGCATCATTTTAGCCATTTCAGAAAACTATGAATCTGCAGTCATTATATTGCCTTCCTCTCATTAATTAAATTTTATCCTCCAACTGTGAGATGCAAAATTTAGAGCACGTGTTATCTGTTTTAAAGTGGACAGTGTGTGCATTCACAGTTTTATTATAAATTGATTTAATAAAGTTTAATTTATGGAAAGAAAAAGGTACTGCTTTCTTTCTATATTGACAGATGAATATCTTTTTTTCACAAATATCTTTCAGCAGTGTGATAATGTGGAATGTAGTAATGATTAACTTCCTGATTTAAGAAAAACCTCAACCAAGGTAATCACTTTTTTTCTTGTTGCCTTTAAAATGTGTGTGGGGGGAAAAAAACAATTATATCCAGGAGTAGGTGTTTTATCAAAAGTCTCTGAGTAGTGAGTACATAC